AACTTTTTGCTCGATTATGAGATTTTTTAATGAACGCTCGCAGGAGTCTGAACGAACGCTCGCTCAAACACGCGGCGTTCTGCCGCGGCAAAGTTTTTAAAAATTCGACCAGACTGACTCGGCGCGTCGGTTGTGCGCGCCGAAGAGAACGATCGCGAAGCCCGAAGTTCCAGCCGAAGCGCAGCCATGCGCGTCAAAAAGCCTTTGTCGCAGGTTCCTGCGACCGGCCATAATCGCGACGGATATTTCTTTCGTTCTTTCTTCCTCTCTGCCTCCGCCTCGCCACTCCACCTCGTAACTTCCACGAATCCTCGCCGACGATTACGAGATTATGTCCCGAGAACGCGCAAGAAACGCGCCGCGAGGCCTGACGAAATTTCGAAATTCAATTATTACGGGCTCCCCGAACCCTGCCGGGAAAAACTTTACAGCCAACAGCGCGGCGGCGCGGGTAATAATGAGAAGTTCTTCAAGGGAATTCGCGAGTTCCCGAGAGTTCACGAAAATTCGTAATGCCGCCGGGTAAAGTTGGAAGTTTCTACCAAAGTCCGCGGAGAGGTGTCTTCACCAAGTGAAAAGAAAAAAAGTTGGCGCTCGGTGAAAAGAATCGTCATGACGCGAGAACGTCGAGATCCGCAAACAACGTGGCGGCCGGTGCGGGCGCATCCGACGACTCTGAGCTTCATAATTACTTCGTGCTGGAAAACGAAACTAGACCATCGCGCGCCGGCGAGAACATCGTCGGCGAAATGTGTGATCCCGACGTAACCCACTAAGTATCTGGACGTTACCGCTGGACGACGCGCCCCTGCACGTCGATCGATCGGTCGATCGGTTGTCCGATTTGCGGTTTGCGAAAAACGCGCGGCCAGGCCAGGCGAGGTGCGGCGCGGCGCGGCCGACCGGCCGGCGGATGACCGTGCGGAATTTGATACGCGTGACTTCGCGTCTTGCCGATAATCTCGTTCTTCGCGAAGTCGGCGAAGTCGACGACGAGTATAATTACGAGGCGGACAAAGGATGTGGGACGTCGCGCGAAAAAGCGCGCGTGACCGAACGGACACTCGCCGTCGTCATCGTCGTCGAAAGGAAGAAAGAAAGTGACCGTGCGAGCTCGCGTTTGCTATCGCGTTCGGCAGGGAGAAAGAAGGCGATGAAGTTCGATGACGAAGACGACGACGACGAGGACAAGTTTTCGTCGAATCTCCCTCGAAAACGAGAAAATACGACTTGACGGTGCACCAGCTTTAATTACTCGAGTTCATCGCACATCGTCGCCTAACCTCGAACTCTTTTTCTTTCGTTCCCGTCAGCGACGTCACTTCCGGATACCAGCCGGTATCGCGGTTACCTGAGCATTTGCTTATTTATTTATGCTTGTTATTATCTCCTTCTATTTATTCTTCAGCTCGTTCTATGCATAAAAATAGTTTGAGGTGAGGCGAACCGAAAACTAGTATTTTGCGAAAGATTTATTTTTTACATCAGAATACGTCAAAATAAAATGTGAAATATCTGCTTATATGTTTCGCTTCTCGCTCACCTTGATACATTTATACGTCAAGAAAAGGGAAGGTCACGGGGATTGATGAGGAGAACATATTGAAGATATGATTTCATTAAGAAAAATTTTTAATTAATAGCCATGAATTTGACTAATTTGACTGGACATCACCTCGCAGCTCGCAAGCAACAGCGTTAGTCTCAACATTTATTCTTCATCCTTATTCTAATAATAATAATTTTTCAACTCTTGATGTTACACGAAGCTTGAATTGAAGTAATACGAAGGTAATCTCGGGGATCTGACTGTTGATGTGAGAATTTCAAGATCCTCGAGGATCCTCGCTGGCAGCAGCGTCAATGGCGCCAACGGTCGTCTGGACGTCTCATTCACCCACGAACGGGTTTCGAGGTGGATTCTGTCGGTGGGTCGTAAAAAAACGGTAAATCGAGAGAGGCTGAAGCACGCGCGCGCACAGGTGATGTTCGATCGCTAATTTAGCCTCGCGTCTCTCTTGCTCTCTCTCTCTCTCTCTCTCTCACTCTCTCTCTCTCTCTCTCTCGTCTCTCTCTCTCTCTCTCGTCTCTCTTTCACTCCGCTGAAAAATGTGCATCGAGTAATGCACAATAATCCGCCTTCCAATGCTGGGAAGAATGTTCATTGTGAGGCGTCGAGATAGAACGACGTCGTTTGTCATATCGCGCGCGACGCCCACGTGGAGAGCGACGTGCTCGCGTAAAAAGAAGAAAATAGAGGAGGAATGGAGAAAAGTAAAGAAGAAAAGGAGGAGAAGAAAAAGACGGAACGCCAATGTGATAATAATTGCCGATTTTATGCAGCCAATGAAAGACGCCCACTTAGAGACGTTGAGAGGACTGCGGCGAGGTCTCATTGACGGCAAGGGAGAGGGAGAAAGAGAGAAACGTCGCTATTGTTATTGAAATGGCATGGTTTTAGCGCAGAAATCCGAAGGATGTCAATCTTCGCCGCCGCATCCTGATTTTCCTTCGTTCTAATTTCTAAATCTCAACGAGGTTTGGTTTGAATATGATTTGAATACTTTCCCGATGCGTCTTGGGAAGCATCTGACGTCCAACAGGAAAATTGCTTCCAAATTCCAATTTTTGTGGAAAAATTTTAAATAATTTTTGGATCGTGAGAATATATGGACAAGCACGTTCATCGAAGTTCCAGAACAAAGCCTCCTCAGAATAGAGAGAGTACAATTAATTTGGCAATGGACGAACCAAATGTGTTTCAAGTCGAATTCGACTTGGACGTTGCGTAAACTCGCGCGGTGACATCTCCTCGCGCGATTTATTCGCGCTGATCACTCGTGGAGATTCCAGGAATGACGAAATGTTCCCGAAAAAACATTTCATCGGCGACGTACGGATACTTCTTTCGGTTCTCCGACCACCTTCGACGGCCGCGTGACGCGCACCACGTGCAACGTCCGTCACGTACGCGCATCCACACGCGTGAAACAATGCCTACGAAATGCCCGAGGATTCTTCAACGTAACGCAGGCATGGCTCGCGTAGATCCACGGCAACGTTGTCCTATTTCTCCTTACGGACTCCTCCGAATTCTCTCGCGGATTCGCGCAGTGCATCGTCGGTTCTCTTAGCGCGGCGAAGTTGCAAGGCTTCTTCTTTAATTGCTACCTGATGACTTCAGCATCGTTTCACTCGCGACTCGTATCGTACTAATAACTACTAAGTAGTACTTGGTACTACTAAATGGACTTGGTCCACTTGTGTCTTCAGCGCATCGTTTGATAACTCGGTGAAACTTCAGAACCTTCCGAAGCGTGTCTCGTGCGCGCACGCACGCGCGCACACATCGAGGATTACGGTGAAACCTCGCTGCAGCGATCCGAAATGAAGGGTTCAAGGAAGACGAGCCCAGGAGGGACGTTACGACGCTTCGAGGAAGTGCGAGCGAGCGATCGAGTCTCTCACGGATCTCGATTTCGCTCGTTTCTCTCTCTCTCTCTCTCCCTCTCTCTCCCTCTCTCTCTCTCTCTCTCTCTCTCTCCTCCCTCTCACTCCCTCCCTCCCCCCCCCTCTCTCTCTCTCTCCCTCTCTCTCTCTCTCTTACTCTCGTTCGTCGTCATCCTCATCTTCATCACCGTCATCATCCACGTCAAGGACTCGCGCTGCGAACCAGGATTCGTTCGCTCCTTCGTTCGTTCGTTCGTGTTCCTGGTATGTTGTACACACGCATCTGTGCGTATATGTATGTGTATGTGCGTGCGTGTGTGTATACTGCGTTCCACGTGACGCAATCGGATGCCAATGGCTGCAGCAGATCCTTCCATGCTCGTGTTTTGCGGATGCTACCGGCTAACGGTCGCTGATACACAAAGCCGCAAAACACACACACACACACACACACACACGCGAACCGAACGAGCTGGCACACGGATACAGAGCGATTCAAAGTTGCCGCCCGGAAATTCGCAGGCCGATCAGTCCCCTCGCGAGCGGAGGAGCGCGTTGACGATCGCGTGTTCTCGCGAGTATCGCAAACGTCTCTTCAGGTGCGCTCCGACATTCCCGCTGTCCGGTTTGAAAATCGTGTAATCGTGATTTGCCCCGCAATTCTTTTCCCTTTGATTTCGAGACACGCTCCGGTGAATTTTCGCGAGCACCGCTTTTGAATCACCTCGTAGAAGTCGCACGAATCCACGAAGCAGCAACCCGATGACGTCAGGCCCGGTGAATGGGCCTCGAGATTGGAGCTGTTGGCTTACGGATCTAACCAGAAGAGGCGCGAGCTGTCGAGCGCAAGAAACTCTTGGAAAATCGATCGATAATGCGGTAATGAGTTTCTTGCGCGTTGCATTAGCTTGCAAATTCGAAGTGGTTATTAGATTGATCTAGAATGTCCTGTTCGGCGAGGACGCGGCTGAAAAAATGGGGAAATCCTTTTTACGGTAAATCACACGTTGCGTTTCGACACGACCCAATGGGCGTGCGCGGTTGATAAAGTTGCGATCGATCGTGTTGATCGTATTGGAACGATCCGGATCTCGCCGTTTCAATTTTGCCGCGTCAGAGTGGAGCACGACGCGGCACTTCCAATTCGCAGAAAATGCAACTAACGTGCCCCCTCCCCTTTTCGTGAAAACTTACAACGCCAACGGAAGGGAGACTCGCGTGTGAAGTCTGAAAAGTGCTTCTTCAGATGAAAGAATTTACAAATACAAGAAAATTACAAATTTAGTAGACGAAGTTAGATCTTCGACGAGCGATTTTCAAGAACCACTCGAGTCGAAGGACTTGGCTACGCTGGGATATTTATTCTCGATCACCATTTTCCGCAAATCAGCCCGTAAAAGTCGAGAAATCGACCTGATTCTGATTATCTCAACAAAGAAAGTTGCGCTTTTTCGATTAGTACGCTACTGAAAAAAGAAAGGCACAAATTAACATCGTTGCATTAATATGAGAGTAACTCGGGAAAGTCGGGATACAGTCGAAACGTCCGATTGTGTTTAAACGTTCGTCTTTTACTTTCTGTCTTATTACATAAATCTCCGTGCTACATTCTTACAATGTGTCCGCTGATCGTATAAATACAACTACTTGATTTCAAAACGGTCCGAGCATTTTCTCTCGATGCTCCAGTTGGAAGATTTGTTCTTCATTCATTCTTAGATTACATTCGCTTTGCGCATTTTCGTAGCGACATCGCGTTCGTTACATGCTGAAGGAAAATAGAATAACGCAGTCGGCACGAAACCGTCCGAAGGAGAAGGCAACCTTGCAGGTCCTTGAATCAGATCGTCGGCTGCGTTCACCAAGCTGCACCGAGAGAAAAATGTCGAGACTGTGTTACGAGCAAACGCACGACTGCTCGACTTATCGATAACAAGAGAAAGGTTGAGAAGTTCACTTCAGTCGTCAGTTGCGAGGTTGAATCTTGTCGGAAAGAATTATATTGGTTCCTCACCGGGTCCTTCGCATCAGACTTTGTACCGTTCTACCACGCAATCGCCTCGCGTCGTATATAATTTCGCACGAGCAAGACGCTTCAAGTCGCAGTAACGTTCGTACTAAACAACACGCGAATAAATAAGTGAAATTCATGCGACTCCTCCCGAAGATCGGCGACGGTCTCTTTGAGACGGTGTCCTCGTCTGTGCAATTCTGCGGATAATCTTTCGCGCCATCCTCACTGGTGACGATTCTTCACGGGATTCGATCCATTCGAAGGAGAGAAAAAAGGAGAGAGAAACCGACATGTCTTCCAGCCAGCGTTGACAAGGACGTTCGACGTCGCCGAAGATCACCGACACTCGAGGAAGACTCGACGACCCGCCGGCTCTTCCTCGAGTCGTCAGTTTTCAGCGAGAGTGCCCACTACCGGAGAAGATCGACCGCGCTAAACGGTGGCGGACTGGGTCCCGGGTGGCGCACGGAAGACGCCGGTGAAGGTGATGGTGTGGCTGGACTTGTCGTAGATCAGGTAGACGAACGGCCGGTTGGCATTGAAGACGGCGGGCTCGGTCGGTCGGCTCGAGCGGAAGCTGAAGAGAGCGGTCGCCGCGGCGGCCGTCGTGCCCTCTTCGGTGACCTCGATCCTGGCGCGGTGCACGGCGTCGCCGAGGTGGAGGCCGCGTTCGCCGTCGGCGACGAAGCCGCGCAGGTCGGCCGCGTCCGGCGACAGAAGTTCGCCGGCACCGAGAGCACTCAACAGCTGGCCGACGGGCAGGTCCCGCTCGATCTCGAAGCGGGGCAGGCTTACCTCAACCTCCCGGAGCGGCATCCCGTCGTCAAGAAGCTCGCGCAACTCCTGTGATCCTCGCGGAGTCGCTAAGCGCTCCACCAGCTGGCGAATGCTATCCTGAGGCTCCTTGCCGGGAACCTGATAGGAGCGCGCGACGGAGAACGGCGGTAGCAGCACGAACATCGATACTTCATCGCCCTTGTATGGCAGCTCCAAGATGTAGGCGCCTAGGTCCTCGGAGACCACTGCAAAAGAGAGTAGAGAGGTCACTTGAGGTGGCAGACACGGTTGAGAATGCGCGGAACAGTGTGACAAACGCCATCGATTAAATTTGTATTGTTCAAGATTCTGTTGCGACAATCGGGTCTTCCTCGGTAACGGATGTATAAATTGAGAAAGGACGAAGCAACGCTTTTGAAACGCTAACTTTAGCGGGATCAGATAATGAAAAATTTGTTTGTATTACAATTTAAAATATGTATTACAAGAGTAGTAAGTTAAAAATTTTCACTTCCAAATACGCCAGTTTAATAACCGAATTTTCTTCTGCGACAAATTTAGAAATCATGAAGTCTACCAAGAAGAAGAAGCGAGAAGAATTAAAACGCTAACGTGGGCAGACGATGAGAAATTTGTTTCTATCGCAATTAATTTCCAAAGATTCGTATTATTATAATAGTTGATGAACTAAAAATTTGTGTTTTCGAATTGTGTTTTCCCAGTCTGATAACAGGATTTTCTTGCGCAGCAAATTTATAAATCATGAAGTCTACTGAGAAAAAGAAGCGATACTCGTGAAGGCTCTAACTGGGTCAGAGTTTGACGATGAGAAATTTGCTTCTGTCGCGATGAACCTCCTAAGATTCACGTCATTACAAGCGTCCATAGGCCGCGACACGTGCGTCGCTCACCGTAGTTAAAGTTGCCCTTTTGCCGCATATACGTGACCATAGCGTTCTGCGAGCCGGAGACGTAGAAGATGTCTCGCTTAGAGTTGCTGGGATCGAAGCGATGGGCCCACAGGCCCTTGAAGTAAACCGCGTTCGCCAAGACGAGATCCGTGTCCTCGGTGATGCCGTTGGGCGGGATGAGGTCGCGGATGTGACCCTTCGTCACGTTGCTGACCCAGTTGTTGATTTGCACCCGCACATCGTCGGGGTTCGTGCGGAAGTTGGTCTTCTGCAGCTGGTCGCCGAAGAAATAGAGCATACACTCGCGCAGCTTCCTGTCGTCCGTCACCCACAATCTGTTCGCCACTCTGTACTCGTAATTGCCGGACGTGTTCAGCTGGAATGTAAAACGGAAGATAAAAAGACTGTTTGCGAGCGGTGCTCGATTAGAAGGAACTCACGGTGGCATAGCCACTCGATACTCGTATCACTGTGACTTCCGTCCTAAAAGACTCCCCGAACTCCCTAAAAAAATTATCATCCTCGAGATAGCGAGTTTCCGTAGACTCTGAGTCACATTTCCGAACTCTGGGAAATTCTTGATTGTCCCGCAGACATCCTCGCACGGATTTATCGGTACAACCAAGCTTGTGTAAAGTCAAGGTACGCTCGTATAAAATCCCAGTCGATATGAGCAATCATCTCATAGTTCTTAGCTCCGGTTTCATGTTCGCGCTATCGACGGGAAAAATCTACTAAGTCGCGCACCGCGATCTCACCTTGCGAGCGAGGCGATCGTCAAATCGTCCAAGGATCGCCGGTGACGAGAGAATCACGGCGACTGCGACCGGTCGCTCTGGGCACACCGGTAGACCTTGTTGAGTACCTTTAAGCGGTGTTGATGTAACGATAAACCGCGATTCACCTTGACATGCCTCCAGCAGCACCGACTAGCAATAATGCCCACTTGCGCAATTCGTGAGAGCGAGTGCGCGCATTGGCATCTCACCTGAGTGTCGCTCATCTCGTTGAGGGAGTTCTCGAAGGCGTAGTAACGCTGCACGTCGACCTTGGACAGCTCGTCGGAGATGCGCAGAGCGTGCTTCAGGCTGGCCTCGGTGCTGCCGCGAGCCCCAAAGTAAGCCAGACTGATCGCTTGGTGCAAGCTATGCGGGCTGAAGAAAATGTTGTCCTGCGGCTGAATCTGCGCGATTTTCTTCAAGCTGTCGACGGCGAAGTTGAAGCGCGCCTCGATCAGCGATATCTTCGAGGTCGGTCTCATCACCGTGGGATTGTCGTCACCTGTGAGGCATTGTGCCGAGATCCCGCCGATTGCCAATATAAAAGGCAACACCTGCAGAGGATGGACAGAAAAGGTCATCAGAACAAAAGAGACACTGACGTCACGTTACATCGATATTATTAGAACACGTCGATAACATCTGCGCGCAATGCAGAAGATTATCGTTTGTCTATTTGTTTGGAAAAATTTTATCGGAATAATCGAGCGGGTTATAATATCTCGTTTTGCCTCTTTAGTTTCTTTAATTTTTTAGTATTAATTAGTATTATTTATTGCAATGGTCAACTAGGTTTTCCGCTGATTTTGTTTTAGTTTTTATTGGCTTTGTGACATCTATAATTTTAATAAATATTTCTAATGATTTTAGTAAAATTATGATAATTAATAAAAAAGTTTGTATTTTTATATATTTATAATGTGTTGATTATATAAAACTGACGCTAAAATATATTAATGTATATTTATATTTTATTAAATTAAATAACAGTATTTTATTTTGATTTTTATATTGATTTTTCTTCTTCTTCTTCTTCTTCTTCTTCAATTTAATTGCACGACTCTGGCAATTTCGTTGAGAGAAAAAATTAAATATTAGTCGAGATACAGTCGAATAAGTTTCCAGAGGAAAGAATCGGAGAGACCTTCCTCTCTCTCTCTCTCTCTCTCTCTCTCTCTCTCTCTCTCTGTGAGAATGCGCGTTGAAATTATCGTGGTCGACGGTGATTAATGAGAATTGCTTTAATTAACCTTTACATTGCAAGCTTTCTTTATTTGATTTTACTCGACGTACGAGACCACAAACATGCTACAAGTCGGCGTAATCCATAGGGACCCGATAACAAACAGAATCGGCACTCGATGATAGCAAGAACGCGTTCTCGTGTCATGGCCCGAGTTGCCGTCCCGAGGCAAGAAGAAGGCAGAAGGTTAAGGACGCGTTGCGTGTGTGAACAAAATGCACACGCGCTGACATCATTCCCTCGGCCAAACATTCCGGGGAAAAAAGAACTTTCTCGCGCGCGCACGTAGCGGAGAAAGCGGACGCGCCGGATACTACAGTGAGAGGACGCACGGCGCACACGGAGGTGGAAGAAATCCGGGCGGTATATCGCCCGGATTTTTTTCGGCGAATTTCGTAAGAACCACGACGCGCGCCTCTCAACAATAGCCTTTGAGGTAATTTATGCGAGTTTCTAGAACGTGTCCTGCACGCGTCAGACCGGTCGCGCTATCGAAAAACCGATCGCGTCACCGTGACTCGTTGTAATTCTTTTTCGATGGAAGGTAATCCTGCCTGAATAAAGCTGGCCATCTAAAGATCAAGGATTCGACGAGCAGCAAGGATTTGCAGCTCTAGACACGGTTGAAAGTGAAAAGATGTTTGTGCATCAACAACGGTGCGACGACTCGGGAAAGGACGATTCTTCTCGAGAAAAACTGACGTGACAAAGTTGAGCAGGATAACATCTTGACGCGCAAAACGCAGGATCCGTCAGGATATACGAGCTTAAGAAGGCAGAAACAAATGTCTAAGGCTAATTCAAGCGGAATCTTGTTACAAATTCTATTTTGATTCCAATTTTCACTCCTAAATTCATATTTACAAGAATGTGAGACCCTAAAGAAGCTTTAATAATTCTGATAAATATCTCTAATAGTCTTAAAAAATTATAATATATATTATATATTATATAAAATATATCGATTATAATCAAACAAATAGATAGAAATATATAGATATACATTGACATTTTACATTAAATAATAAAATATATCGATATAGTAGATGAATCATGATATTAAAAATAATTAAAAATAAATATACTTGTATATCGATAGCATATTAATTCCGCAGTGTTTCTCCGAGTTACCTCTTTTTATAAACGAGGCGCCGCGCGATAAATGTTCTGCGCGACCGCGACTTACTCAGCCGCTCGTAGCGAAATTTTCGATCGTGTGCACCGCAATCGCGCAATCTATCCCGTGCGTGTCACAGGATGTGACCAGGTTCCCCCATTCGCGGACTGACGTAACCACGCAAATCCTCGCAATTTCCTTGGAGGGCTGCGCTCAGTTCCGCTACTGACTATGCAATTAAACGCACAGCGAGGCCCGATCGATCGGAGATCGGAGGCAGCTAGGAAAGGAACGAGTGAAAGCAGCCGGCGACGTACCGTAACATCATAGGGACCGGCTTTCCTGATTGAAACCGACGTGTGTGACGAGAAGAGACGCGCGAGCGCGTGTGACGAAGCGAAATTTTCGGCGAGTGAAAATTAGGCGAACGCGCTGGGGGCAGAATGTCTCAAGTTAATCGTACGGAAAAATTTCGGCATTCGACGTTTCCGCCTTCGATTCTTTCGATTGGTGAAAAGTGAGGAATTTTTGAATTTCACACAAAGTCAAAGTCTTGATCAACCGCGCCGTTCGCTCCGCTCGTATGCTCGATGAAATCGAACGATACGTGGATATAAACATGGAAAAAAAAATATCATATTTCCAATTAGCTGCTTGGGTTTTTCCCTTCTTATCGTAAGAATGTCCATCTGCGAGCAAAGGATACAGACAATGTGACGATGTTGAATTTAAATCCGCGACGAGGGTGAGTCGGACGGAAGCAGAACAGCGGGATTGACAGAGAATGGGAATGAGAGTTAGAATTAACAAATGGACGTCGCTCAGAGTCGCGGAATCAATCGACATTAGAGTTCAATGGGAGTTCAGCCGACGAAACGCAATCGCCGGCGAACATTCCTCGCCACATATTGTATATTCGTTATCATGACGATCACGTTTCGTATAATCAGTCACAATCGTACTCGCTGAGTAATCCTCACGTGACTCATTCTCGAGATCATAGGATCACGAGAGAGACGAGAGTCTTGTTTTCTTTTCACTATTTTTTCTTCCCTTCTATTTTTTTTGTGCGTGAGTGCGCTAAACTGTTCGAGGAATCGCTCGTGATGTAAGAATTGGAATGAATGATCGATGCATCTTACGACTGGGGATTTCCGTACTTACTATAAGACAGAGAGAGAGAGAGAGAGAGAATGAGTGAGGGGGGGGGAGGGAAAAAAGAAACACGTTTCTCTCACCGTCGTGTAAACATTTCGAGCCACGATGATTCCTCGAAGAACTCCTCGAATATGGTCGAGTGTTATCATATCACGTAGCGCATTGCTGATGAACTCCGATTGTTTTTGAACAATGTGAAAATTCTCGGACAAGAGGAAAAGAGAGAGAGAGAGAGAGAGAGGATAACGATGTTATTTCTTACTCCCGAAATAACTAATACGTTCCGGAGATTAGATAACGCGTGGGAAGATTGAGAGCGCTAACGAGGCCGGCCATTTCGCCGGTTATCTACGCGTCCGAAAATGAAACCTCGGTATTAATGGATCGCCGATTCGCTTATCGGCGAGAGCATTAAAAGCCAACATCGGGGCGCAATCGCGTCCGGCGTTAAATGAAGCGCGAAACACCCTGCGCGGTTGGTTGCCATTTAATTATGTATCGCGTCGCCGTGAATTTCACAAGAATAATGCGCGACATGCCGCTTGTCAACAGAGCGTGTTGACTTTGGATGTTATATAAATTGGACCGAGGCACTTCTCTCTCCTTCTCTCTCGGAGAGACTTAAGGTTCTACAATAGCTGTAAGAATAAGGCTGTAAGGCTGTAACGTAAGCTGTCAGCAAATGAAAATATTTCATTTCGTGTCTTGCAACCTTACAGCCTTAACTCTTACAGCTAATGTAGACGAACCTTTAGGCCTGGTCTACAATATACATGTTGTAAGCTGTAAGAACTAACCAATTACAGTCGATTATTTTTGTAGTAATCGACTGTGATTCGCCAATTCTTACGGCTTACAACTTACGACACGCATTGTAAACCAGGCCTGAGTCTGAAGCGATAAAAACATTGCAACGACATTGATGGATCTGTTTAGAAGATAAGAGTACTTTTTTCTCTGATCGTTCCAGAATTGTCGTCACCGCGAACTTCTTTCGCTCCTCTTCGGCGAGATTTACAATGTAAATATCACTTCACGCTCCATGAAGTCGAACGAAATTTTATCTTCTTGCGTCAGAAGCCTCGAAATCGAAACGTCCGAAATCGGATGATACGTCGCGATTTACTTGTAAATAGTTTGTTTATTTCACGTCAACAAAATTATTCAATATTTCAACCCTGCCTGATTTGTCCCATATTGTTGAGAAGCCTCATTGTCATATTGCAGAGAGATCAAGAAAATTGTGCTATTTTGTACGCAATTTTTTAACTTAATTAGGATTAACGTGTTAGTATATTAAAGTAGTCAATTAGTGCATTAAATTAGTTTCTAATATTTTCCTTCCTTTTTTCAGAGCTTCAGAATTTTGTTTGTTTTGATAATCAAGGTAATTCCGTCGAAATAAGCCACGCGGGAATTCGGGGATTAATTGACGAGCGCAAAAATGTGAAAAACCAGAGTCGACCGATAAGACTTATCACGGTTGAACTTTCAACGAAAGTCATCTCGAAGGAGAGTTCGACGTGCATCGAATAGACTAATTCCCTATAGTGATAAAACTACTAGTATTCTAATTAAGAATTTCGAAGACTCTTCGCGATTTCTCGTCTCCCTGATAAATCTCTACCAAGTCAAAATCGCAATCGCAAGAAAGAAACGCTGCGGTACTCACCGTGAAGAACATCGTATGACACTTTTGAAGTCCACAGCTAGTAGAATGAGTCTAAGCTAGTATATCGATAGTGCGATCGATAGAGACATCCGTACAACGATCGACAGGAGGCAAGACTGAAGACCGTGCGACCACGAAGAGACGCTCGAGGAGCGCTCGCCCGGCCGCTCCTGCCCCACTACGGGGTCACGTTTACGTGCAAAACGTCATGACATACATACATGAGCACATTCAGGATCGGATTGAGCGAAGAAGAACTTGATGACGTGCTGAGCGGCGTTCCGGAAAGCGCCTCTTTGGAGGGAGAAAACGAAACCGAGAGGATCATATCAGAACCTCGACAGGGAAGAAACAATGATACCTCGATTTTCATTTCTTGATAGGACAAAAGAATTTGACGGGAAATCGTCCATGGATCACGGAATCCAGATTTAGAGAGAGAGAAAGAGAGAGAGAGAGAAAAGGAGAATGTTCGCTCAAAGAGAACGCTTTTAGAAGAATTTTTTGGATGACATTCTTTTTTGTCAAGAATCACATGAATTGTTACTAAAAGCTTAGCTTAAGACTTAGTTTTGCTGAATCAATTTTAGTCCTTTTTGGGGTTCTTCTCTGCATTGAACCACGGAAGGCAGAGTCCATTCGGAATTTTCGTTCATCAAGGCTCTACCTTTCCAATCCGACCCTGAACGCTTTTATATACATGGTACACACACCTCTCGCGCGGTCATTACTTCCTCGTCCTTTGGAAATGCCCAGTCGTAATCGACTGCTTTATTACCAGAAAACCCCGGCACTCAAGGATATCGCAATACGGATACTGTAAAAGCTTCTTATTCGGAATTTTACTTTTATCTTGTACGTACATTATAAATTCCGTGCCTAAAGCGCTACCGAGAATTGTTTGCTTGTGCATATTTGTCTACCCACGACTGTCGGATGGGTCAAGATTAGAGGGTCAATTGGCTTAATAAACTGCCAAGTGTTTAATTTTTAAATTTGCTTCCTGAATTTCTAATTATAAACACATCATAAATATATATTGCTGCGTTTTTTGTATATAAAAGAAGCATAAAATATTAAAAAATAAAATGTATCTTTTCACTAAAAGAACTAAGAAGAATTGTCTATTACTTTGTAACAGAGAGTACTCTTTAGTGAGAAGATATCTTTCTTATATATTTTATATTTTATACAATAATATGTTTCTTCTCATGTCGAGCAATATATTTACAAATGGTTTTAAATCCAACGCGTCTTGTATTTATTAATTTTTATTGCATAGTTTAACTAATAACTAAAATTCGTCTGACATGTTTTCAAGTTTTAAGACTCGTCAATAATAAATAAAACTCGACAAGCTTCGATAACTTCGATAAAAATATTGATAATAAGATGGTTCGAAATGCATTTTATAAATTGTAGTCTTTAATTTCCATCTATATTTTTGAATATTAAATTTATTTACTTCTGATGATGTTATATAAATTAAAATTCATCAAACATCCAAATTTTTTATAAATTTTATCAATCTCCATCTCGTATATATTGTCTCTCTCGTCATTTTTAACTAAATTCGATATATCATTACAAAAAAAAAAAAAAAACAGCAATATTAAGATATGCTTAAAAACTAGAGAGCTTTAAACTATACAATGCTTATCGCATTTTGTACGAGTTTCACAAAGTTTCAAAAGTTCGTATGTTGTTTTGTTTTTTTTCGGACTTTCTTTCTTAAATATGTGAAAATGTTATTTAATGCATCTTGTTAATACGGTTGATATTGATACATTTAATATTTAATTTATGCTGTAATTATATGTAAAATACTTATGCTTTACATGGTATGTATGCTCATGAGATGCATATTTAATATGCTGAGAGAAAATATGTAAGCAGTTGAATAAACAATATCAGTGATCCTTCACAAAGAAATATTGTATCTATTGAACAAGTGACGCGTTAATGTAACAATAAATTGCGTAGGTATACCAACTGATCAAGTTGCAATTATTAAATTTAATTATTAATCAATTAATTCTTGGGTTGAATTTGCTCAAACGTGAATTAACGCACGTTTTGCTGTTACCATCAAGACGGACGTAGTTCGTATGCACTTTTCCAGGAGACGTGTTGGAAAAAGCGTCGCTTGAAATTCGGTTTAATAGCCATTCTCAAGCTTCCCTCTGCTATAAGTCAGTATTTAAGGTCTACCAATCTTATAACTAAAATTGAAGTTTCCAAGTTTTCTTACATCCGTCATAGAACATATCATATCCAATAAGAAAATAGCTTTCTAATGGAAAATTGAATTCTTTATGAGAAAACTGTTCTCTTAATGGATATCATATGTCATATGTCGAAGGCCTTTAAGCTGAGTCTATAATGGATGCATTAAGTTTCAAGTCGTAATAAAGTGACGAATTGCAATTGATTTTTCTTGTCATATTCGACTGTGGTTGATCATCATTAATAGAAATTATAAAAATTACGTATACAATGTTATTACGTACGTTGATAAATTCATCGTATTACGACTCGTACATAGGTCACAACACGCAAAACGTAGAAATTGACTAATCACAGTCGAACATTTTCTTCACATTCAACTGTAATTAGTCACTTTTTGCGTTCTGCGACCTATGTAGACGGACCGTTGAAGTATCAAAAGTACAAGCAACGCAAAAGGATCTAATTTTTCATTCGTTAACTGAAAATTATTGATAAAGTTCCTAATTGTTTAGTTAAAACCATTATTTAATTGTTAAAGACCCAACATCTCTGAACTTATTACCACTATACTAAATGAAAAGAAATACTTCACATGATCACCCAGACAAAAAAGTACACAATTATTTTTTTATTATAGAATTTTTACTTTTTACTTGCATGAGGAAACAGATCATGAAGATTATTTTTTAGGCTTTCTGTCCTTAGCAAGTCTAGTCAAGTCATCAGGGTTTTCAGCAGCATCCTTAACTCGCTTCGCACGAACCCCTATTAAACGTGCATCTGCTCTTGCTTTGCGAAGAGCCACATATGCAGAGAATTTAGTTTCTTCTTCTGTTACAATACGGGCTTTAGCTTTAGCGGGAGCTTGATGCCTTATTGGCATCGGGTCCGTTTTCAACTGAGTTGCCAATCTCCTTTCTTCCTCAGTTGCATCACCAGGTTTAGGCTGAAACATTAAAAATAATTAATAACTTTAGAAACACAACTACCATACAGAACATCAAATTATGCTAAACACTATTCTAGATATAGTATAATCACAAACATTAAACAAAAGCAATTTATAAATATCATTGACATACTTTCTTTTCATTCGTTGGAAAGAGGATCAACTTGGCTCTATATTCTTTCAAACGTTGTGCATTTGTTTGAAGGGATTCAACAGATTTATTACGGCGACGTGGATCAACAGCAATACCGACTGTTCTGGCAAATCTTTTATTCAAACCACTAGCTTTCAGCTCAGCCAGAGTAAATCCTCTACCAGCACGAACTTTAGTGTGGTAGCGGAATGTCGGGCAATGAACTACAGGTCTTAAAAGACCTGCTGGCCTAAAACATGTTTAAAAATATTTAATTAGAAACAAATATAGGAATTTTATATATATATATATAAAACAGTTTAAATATATGTATTGTCAGCGTATTAGTGAACTTATGATACAGATATAGATCTATAAGAAAATATAAATTATAAACATACTAAAATTATTTCACATACCTGGGAGCAACAGCTCTTGCTTTCTTAACACGACTTTTATGGCGACGTATTTTCCTAGCAGGTTGATTGAACCAGGTTTTGACAAAACGTTGCCAATCCTTATGAAAATGACCATTCGGGATCATATTATTGCGCTTCCCCATAGTTGATATCCAATATCTATTAATATTATCAATAGTTATCAACAGTCTTGTTTTGTATTCATTAAACTTTACATGATAATTATCAAACATATTCAAGGTTCTTCACCAGAACATTGTTTACTTATAAACATAGTGTTTATTTATACATAAATATTAAATATTTTGTAAATATATTCACGACTCTCTAGTAATAACTCTACATCATTATAAAAAAAGTCAATATCTTGATTGAATGTAGACTATTAACAGATTGAGAGATTGCTGAGAAGTTGTTACTAAGAATATAAAAAATAACTTATTGAAGAATTGGTGAAAATCAATAGTATTGTGTTTTGAAGGTAGTAAGAAGTTATAAAAGAATGTTGCAAAATATGTAACAAAACTTTTATAATAAAGATGGATCTAGATTATAACCTCTCTCTAATGATGTAAATGTGATATAAATTAAAGAGTTTTACCATAAAAATTGTTACATATATATATATTTTAGAGAGAAGTAACCAGAATTATAAAAATATATATCCTTATTATGTATTTAATAGATATACGATTGTAAAAACTTACATTGATACAAATTTTCAACGCTGAACTCAACAGTTATTCTCAAGAACACGATATGGAAGACCATCGGAAGTGCCGGATATAACTCTTTTGAGCTAGTCAACTATTAAATAGAGAATTCCTTTTTGGTATGTTCATACAAAAGCAAAAAATGCACACACATACACAAACATATATATAACATATTAATTTTAAGAAATGTTTAAAATTTCGACGTGGTAAAATATAATTTATTAACTATAAACGAGAGTATATAACTTGCCTCGAGTAGTTTATGCAAATGGCGACAAATACGTGCTGTAATAATAACAGAAAACTAGAATATAATATATCAAACCAAAATATCTCATTTTGTATCGATTTTGTTTGTATGATAAGAATAAGGTTTAACAATGGTACAAAATGTATTGTATCTCCTTAAGATGTTGTCACGCATAATATAGTAGACACGCAGCAATTTAGTGTGGCAATATCCAGAATGCAAGATCTTACAAATAGGTAAACATATAATATGTAGTAACTGACTTTTGCAACAATTCAAATATCTGAATACATGTCGAACCTATAATTACAGTTTGCGAAAAGTTCATATAGAATGTTTAAGAAAAAGTCGTGAATTCGAACAAGCCTTGGCAGTCCAAATTCTCATGCTTGCACCTTTCATTCCACACTTTGCCTCTGAATTGTGGGCTATTTTCTACTCCGCAAAGCATCATCTTATAGATAATAAAGAAGTAAATTTGGATAAAAATTTATTGGAACAGAAATGGCTAGATATCGATATGGATTATAAACTCACATTAAATATATTTGTAAGTACTTCTATATTCTATATTTGAAAACAGAACAGAAAACAGATCATGAAGATTATTTTTTAGGCTTTCTGTCCTTAGCAAGTCTAGTCAAGTCATCAGGGTTTTCAGCAGCATCCTTAACTCGCTTCGCACGAATCCCTATTAAACGTGCATCTGCCATTGCTTTGCGAAGAGCCACATATGCAGAGAATTTAGTTTCTTCGTCTGTAAGGCCCCTTGCACAATGCCAGGCAACAACGATAAGAATAAAAATAGACCAATCACAATCGACTATTATAAGAATAATCTATTGTGATTGGTCTATTTTTATTCTTATTGTCTGTTGCCTGGCATTGTGCAAGGAGCTTTACAGTACGGGCTTTAGCTTTAGCAGGAGCTTGATGCTGTAAGATATAGACGAGGGAGGACAGCACCAGCTCGTTCCGGGGGAGCCACGGGAGAAAGTCCGGTCTCAACAGTCCAGGTTCGGCTGATGGAGGAAAGAAAAAGAGGCGAACGGACGGAGGCAGGGCTTTTCGGCGATTCAGCTTGGAGACGGATAGTTAGAGAGAGAGAGTCGAGTCGAAAGACAAAATCGGACATAGTCAAGCTTTGTAAAGCGATATATTTGTATAAATCGCGGTGTCGGGTACAATTGTATGTGTTCTTTTTACAATATATATATTTATATTCTTGTTCAATATAAGAAGAGTTTCATACTAATCGCTCGGAACCCCTACATCCTGAACATCCCCTTTTCTAACTAAGGAGGAGGATCTTGAAGAAGAGAGATTAGAAAGAGAAAGGAATAAAGATAGACGACTGCTCTTTTTATATCTTACAATGCCTTGTTGGCATCGGATCTGTTTTCAACTGAGTTGCCAATCTCCCTTCTTCCTCAGTTGCATCACCAGGTTTAGGCTGAAACATTAAAAATAATTAATAACTTTAAAAACACAACCATACAGAACATCAAATTATGCTAAACATTTTTCTAGATATAGTATAATCACAAACATTAAACAAAAGCAATTTATAAATATCATTGACATACTTTCTTTCCATTCGTTGGAAAGAGGATCAACTTGGCCCTATATTCTTTCAAACGTTGTACATTTGTTTGAAGGGATTCAACAGATTTATTGCGACGACGTGGATCAACAGCAATACCGACTGTTCTGGCAAATCTTTTATTCAAACCACTTGTTTTCAGCTCAGCCAGGGTAAATCCTCTACCAGCATGAACTTTAGTGTGGTAGCGGAATGTCGGGCAATGAACTACGGGTCTTAAAAGACCTGCTGGCCTAAAACATGTTTAAAAATATTTAATTAGAAACAAATATAGGAATTTTATATATATATATATAAAACAGTTTAAATATATGTATTGTCAGCGTGTTAGTGAACTTATATGATACAGATATAGATCTATAAGAAAATATAAATTATAAACATACTAAAATTATTTCACATACTTGGGAGCAACAGCTCTTGCTTTCTTAACACGACTTTTATGGCGACGTATTTTCCTAGCAGATTGATTGAACCAGGTTTTGACAAAACGTTGCCAATCCTTATGAAAATGACCATTCGGGATCATATTATTGCGTTTCCGCATAGTTGATATCCAATATCTATTAATATTATCAATAGTTATCAACAGTCTTGTTTTGTATTCATTAAACTTTACATGATAATTATCAAACATATTCAAGGATCTTCACCAGAACATTGTTTACTTATACATAAACATAGTGTTTATTTATACATAAATATTAAATATTTTGTAAATATATTCATGACTCTCTAGTAATAACTCTACATCATTATAAAAAAAGTCAATATCTTGATTGAATGTAGACTATTAACAGATTGAGAGATTGCTGAGAAGTTGTTACTAAGAATATAAAAAATAACTTATTGTAAAATTGATGAATATCAATAGTATCGTGTTTTCAAGGTAGTAAGAAGTTATAAAAGAATGTTGCAAAATATGTAACAAAACTTTTATAATAAAGATGGATCTAGATTATAACTTTTCTCTCTAATGATGTAAATGTGATATAAATTAAAGAGTTTTACCATAAAAATTGTTACATATATATATATATTTTAGAGAGAAGTAATCAGAGTTATTAAAATATATATCCTTATTATGTATTTAATAGATATACGATTGTAAAAACTTACATTAATACAAATTTCCAACGCTGAACTCAACAGTTATTCTCGAGGAACACTCTATATGGAAGACCATTGGAAGTGCCGGAAATAACTCTTTTCAGCTGGTCATCTGTTAAATAGAGAATTACTTCTTGGTATGTTTATACAAAAGCAAAAAATGCACACACATACACAAACATATATATAACATGTTAATTTTAAGAAATGTTTAAAATTTCGATGTGATAAAATATAATCTATTAACTATAACCGAGAGTATATAACTTGCCTCGAGTAGTTTATGCAAATGGCGGCAAATACGTGCTGTAACAATAACAGAAAACTAGAATATAATATATCAAACCAAAATATTTCATTTTGTATCGATTTTGTTTGTATGATAAGAATAAGGTTTAATAATGGTACAAAATGTATTGTATCCGCTTAAGATGTTGTCACGCATAATATAGTAGACACACAGCAATTTAGTGTAGCAATATCCAGAATGCAAGGTCTTACAAATAGGTAAATATATATGTAGTAACTGACTTTTGCAACAATTCAAATATCTGAATACATATCGAACCTATAATTACAGTTTGCGAAAAGTTTATATAGAATGTTTAAGAAAAAGTCGTGAATTCGAACGAGCCTTGGCAGTCCAAATTCTCATGCTTGCACCTTTCATTCCACACTTTGCCTCTGAATTGTGGACTATTTTCTGCTCCGCAAAGCATCATCTTATAGATAATAAAGAAGTAAATTTGGATAAAGATTTATTGGAACAGAAATGGCCAGATATCTATATGGATTATAAACTCACATTAAATATATTTGTAAGTACTTCTATATTCTATATTTGAAAACAGAACAGAAAACAGATCATGAAGATTATTTTTTAGGCTTTCTGTCCTTAGCAAGTCTAGTCAAGTCATCAGGGTTTTCAGCAGCATCATTAACTCGCTTCGCACGAACCCCTATTAAACGTGCATCTGTCCTTGCTTTGCGAAGAGCCACATATGCAGAGAATTTAGTTTCTCCGTCTGTTACAGTACAGGCTTTACCTTTAGCAGGAGTTTGATGCCGTATTGGCATCGGGTCAGTTTTCAACTGAATTGCCAATCCCCTTTCTTCCTCAGTTGCATCACCAGGTTTAGGCTGAAACATTAAAAATAATTAATAACTTTAAAAACACAACTATCATACAGAACATCAAATTATGCTAAACATTATTCTAGATATAGTATAATCACAAATATTAAACAAAAGCAATTTATAAATATCATTGACATACTTTCTTTTTATTCGTTGGAAGGAGGATCCACTTGGCTCCATATTCTTTCAAACGTTGTGCATGTTTGAAAGGATTCAACAGATTTATTACGGCGACATGGATCAACAGCAATACCGACTGTTATGGCAAATCTTTTATTCAAACCACTTGTTTTCAGCTCAGCCAGAGTAAATCCTCTACCAGCACGAACTTTAGTGTGGTAGCGGAATGTCGGGCAATGAACTACGGGTCTTAAAAGACCTGCTGGCCTAAAACATGTTTAAAAATATTTTATTAGAAATAAATATAGGAATTTTATATATATATATATAAAACAGTTTAAATATATGTATTGTCAGTGTGTTAGTAAACTTATATGATACAGATATAGATCTATAAGAAAATATAAATTATAAACATACTAAAATTATTTCACATACCTGGGAGCAACAGCTCTTGCTTTCTTAACACGACTTTTATGGCAACGTGTTTTCCTAGCAGGTTGATTGAACCAGGTTTTGACAAAATGTTGCCAATCCTTATGAAAATGACCATTTGGGATCATATTATTGCGCTTCCCCATAGTTGATATCCAATATCTATTAATATTATCAACAGTCTTATTTTGTATTCATTAAACTTTACATGATAATTATCAAACAGATTCAAGGATCTTCACCAGAACATTGTTTATTTATACATAAACATAGTGTCTATTTATACATAAATATTAAATATTTTTTAATATATTCATAACTCTCCAGTAATAACTCTACGTCATTATAAAAAAAGTCAATATCTTGATTGAATATAGACTATTAACAGATTGAGAAATTGCTGAGAAGTTGTTACTAAGAATATAAAAAATAACTTATTGAAAAATTGATGAATATCAATAGTATCGTGTTTTCAAGGTAGTAAGAAGTTATAAAAGAATGTTTCAAAATATGTAACAAAACTTTTATAATAAAAATGGATCTAGATTATAACCTCTCTCTAATGATGTAAATATGATGTAAATTAAAGAGTTTTACCATAAAAATTGTTACATATATATATGTTTTAGAGAGAAGTAACCAGAGTTATAAAAATATAAATCCTTATTATGTATTTAATAGATATACGATTGTAAAAGCTTACATTAATACAAATTTCCAACGCTGAACTCAACAGTTATTCTCGAGGACACGATATGGAAGCCCATCGGAAGTGCCGGAAATAACTCTTTTGAGCTAGTCATCTGTTAAATAGAGAATTACTTCTTGGTATGTTTATACAAAAGCAAAAAATGCACACACATACACACATGTATATAACATATTAATTTTAAGATATGTTTAAAATTTCGACGTGATAAAATATAATTTATTAACTATAAACGAGAGTATATAACTTGCCTCGAGTAGTTTATGCAAATGGCGGCCTACGTGCTGTAATAATAACAGAAAACTAGAATATAATAATATTAAACAAAAATATTTCATTTTGTATCGATTTTGTTTGTATGATAAGAATAAGGTTTAACAATGGTACAAAATGTATTGTATTCCTTTAAGATGTTGTCACGATACAGAACACGAAAGTTTTTCAGTGATATTCTTCATCGGCAATTAACGGCGTCCGCAACGAATGCGTTGGAGGTATAAATATTTCTGTTAAAATTTTGTCCTTTATCTTGTTTATATATTTTACAAGATATTTATGTATGAAATATGAAAGTTTTCGTTTATCTGGCACAACAGTTTTGTATGTATTTTGCCTACATTCAAATATATCTAGATATAAATTTTGTTTTCCCACAAAGAACACAGTTGAACATAGAGAAATAAATTAGTAAAATATTTAAAGATTGTTGTGGCTTAGACTAAACATTATTGTATTGTTTATTAGACAAGCAAAAATTTATTTTTTAGATAACAGACTGTTCAACCAAAGTGAAGCACCAAATAGAAGACCACTGGAGAGATAAAATAAATTTGTACAAATCCAATATTGATCATAAAGCAAAAGATAAATTTTATATTCTATCTATGTTTCCATATCCTTCTGGTGCTTTACACATAGGTCATATAAGGGTTTATACAATAAGTGATACAGTAGCTAGATTTTATAGAATGAAAGGTAAGCATTTTATTTTAATATACATATACATATATATATATATCTATATATATATATATGTATATATATGTGTATTTTATGACATAGAAATTATATATCAAGACTTTATAATATATTCTCTAAAATATGAGTCATATATATATATATATATATATACAAATTGGAATAATATAAAAAACCTCATACAGGTAAAAATGTAATTCATCCCATGGGTTGGGATGCTTTTGGACTACCAGCAGAGAATGCTGCTATTGAACAAAAAGTGGATCCAGTTGTATGGACAAGAGATAATATACAAACAATGCGTAATCAATTGACAATGCTGAACTATTCTTTTGATTGGGAAAGAGAATTTGCAACTTGCAATCCAAATTATTACAGGTGGACACAGGAATTATTCCTAAAATTATACGATAAAAATTTAGTATATCGAAAAGAATCTTATGTTAACTGGGATCCTGTAGATAAGACTGTACTAGCTGACGAACAAGTAGATTTGAATCAGCGATCATGGAGGTCTGGTGCATTAGTAGAAAAGAAAATGTTGAAGCAGTGGTTTATTAGGACTACTGCTTTTGCAAAGTAAGAGCTAAAAGAAATGTTTGATATAACCCATTTTGTTATAGTTGATTGATTAACCATCTATTGCAGGTCATTGCTAGAGGGTTTAAACGATCCAAATTTGAAGGAATGGAGTGATATCATAAAGTTGCAGAAGCATTGGATAGGCAACTGCAATGGTATTAATATCGATTTTAAATTGATATCTGATATTCCAGATTTTCCAAACACAATGAATTTATGGACAAACATGCCAGAATTTATAGAATATGCAAAGTTTGTTGCTATATCTCCTCAAAATATATTACATCGTAAAGATTATACACATGATATAGATGTCGGTATCAAATGTTTAAATGCAAAAGTATTAAATCCATTCTCTGGTGAAGAATTGCCGATCTTTGTTACCGATAAGATTGTTTATTCACCATGCAGAGACAACCATCTGGGTATACCTTCCGCATCTATGGATGATTTACAATTTTCAGAGTTGGTTGGGATATCGTTCACTCGGCATACGATACGTAGCTATGAACAACAGCAGCAAAAGTTGTCTAAAATATTACAGAAAGCTAGAGAATGGAAAATAGGTGGATATCCAGTAAGTTCAAAACTGCAAGACTGGTTAATCTCGAGACAGAGATATTGGGGTACACCAATACCCATGATTCATTGTGTAAAGTGTGGCACTCAGCCAGTACCTCGCGATCAACTTCCCGTTACGTTACCAAACATAAAGCATATATCAAATACGAATTTATCAGCTAACGAAAACGAAGATTGGTTGGTAGCAAAATGTCCTGTGTGTAAAGGAAATGCGAAGAGAGAAACTGATACGATGGATACGTTCGTAGATAGCAGCTGGTACTTTCTACGTTTCTTAGATCCTGATAATACAAAAGAGATGTTTTCAGTGGAGAAGGTCAAGAAAACTTTCCCTGTAGATCTTTATATAGGTGGCAAAGAACATGGTATGATAATAATGTTCTTTTCACCGTTAAGATTTGACATGTTCATATTTTGAAAAAAATATATTTATATTTATATATTTTATATTTTTCAGCTGTGCTCCATTTGTACTTTGCTCGATTTATAAGTCACTTCTTATACTCAGAAGGTCTTGTACCATGTAAAGAACCATTTAGACAGCTTCTTGTGCAAGGTATGGTAATGAGTAAAACATATAAAATTAAGAAAACTGGCAAATATGTAAGCACAAAAGAAGTAAAGGAAACAGAGTTCAATCAATATGAGACATTATCCGGCGAACCAGTGTCTGTAAATTGGGAGAAGATGTCAAAATCAAAATACAATGGTGTTGATCCTCTTATATTGTTGGATAAATATGGGATAGATATGACCAGATTATTAATATTGGCTGATGTTGCACCAAAGTCCACGAGGCATTGGTCAGAAGATAGTAAGGCTTAATTTATCAACTTTCCAAATATTAACTGCTCACTTAAATAGTAGGTTTATTACAACATGTATATTCATATATTCATATGGACATGTAAAATTGCAGCTATTCCTGGCATACAGAATTGGCAAAATCGTATTTGGAATACCGTGAGACAATTTAAATATGAACGTGACAATATGTCTCTGGAGGAACTACAAACTAAATCTACCCATCCTATGTTCGCTGAACACGATGCATATATGTTCGACAGTCGAAATTATTTTTTAAAAAATGTCACGCATAATATAGTAGACACGCAGCAATTTAGTGTGGCAATATCCAGAATGCAAGGTCTTACAAATAGGTAAATAAATAATATGTAGTAACTGACTTTTGCAACAATTCAAATATCTGAATACATATCGAACCTATAATTACAGTTTACGAAAAGTTCATATAGAATGTTTAAGAAAAAGTCGTGAATTCGAACGAGCTTTGGCAGTTCAAATTCTAATGCTTGCACCTTTCATTCCACACTTTGCCTCTGAATTGTGGGCTATTTTCTGCTCCGCAAAGCATCATCTTATAGATAATAAAGAAGTAAATTTGGATAAAGATTTATTGGAACAGAAATGGCCAGATATCGATATGGATTATAAACTCACATTAAATATATTTGTAAGTACTTCTATATTCTATATTTGTACATATTTCAAATAAGAATACTGTGACTAATATATATATATATATATATATTTACATATACAATTATGCTATTTTTTATTTCCATATATATTTAGATAAACAAACGTCAGTTCTTAAAACTGAAGCTTCCACGACACACGTTGGACGAAATGACATCAGAAACGGCATTAGAGCATGTGATGCTTGATCCATATTATCAGAAACACTCGCACAATAAGAAAATCGTGGAATCTAGTCTTCAATTAGAGAAAGGCTGTGATGCGACGTTGTACATAACCATGGAAAAACAAATGGAAGATATTGTGCTATAATATTTTTGTCAATATATATAAGGTATTGATGAAATTTACATTATAAGATTTATCGATTATAACACTATTTGGTATATAAAGTATAAATTTTTTTAGCTACTAAATTTGTTGTTCACCTGATATCATATTTTCCTTTGTATCCATTATCTGAGATAGATTTTAAGAATTTGAGATAATCATCAGGAAGATTGTTTTCTTGGGCTCCTTTTATCATCATCCTTCTATAATCAAGGTAAAAATTGTGGTAAATGTTTAAAGTTCAATTATATTACTTTGCATATATTATTCATATTACATCTATATGTAGATATATACAGATACAATGGTGAAGGTTTTCTATCCATTGGAAGGTCTACTGGTTTTATGTATTCTGTTGGATTATGACATTGTTGGTACACTCTACAATTCAGAATTGTACCATTAGGAGTTTCAACATCCACGGACAATGCATGATATATATTATTTTGAACACCTTCTTGTTGATCTAAGGTAGACAAATTACTTTTGTCTAATTCCCAAATCACGCCCCACACGATCGAGTCATTTGTTTCTACAATTGTTGCTGATGCTCCATGCCATCGTTTAGAATATCTTTGAAAATCCAATCTAAAATTCTAATAAAAACATTTATCTTGTGGGTGCGTGCACATATGCGTGTGTATATGTATATATGTGTGTGTGTGTGTGTGTGTGTGTGTGTATGTGTGTGTGTGTGTGTGTGTGTGTGTGCGCGATTGTACATATAGAAAAAAATATGTAACAAACATAATATATAAATATAAAAGTGACATGAGGGTTCTTCAATTTATATTTGAAGATATAAAAAATTTTGAAAATTTAAATTTTCATAATTCCATAATTGACTTTATATTATAAATTGTATTGCATAATTTTTAACAAATAAATATATTGTGTGAATCGTGTTCATAGATTTTTCTGATTCTTTAAAAATAAGGTATAGTCTTATCTTTGTGATTATTCTTATCTCATCGTCCACAAAGTCTAATGTATTGTATATGTACATGTATGTATTGTATATGTACATGTATTCTACAAATTATTTTTGTTAAGTTGTATCCATATTTTATATATTATTATCAAATAAAGAAATACTGTTTGAAAAACATTTAGATATCATTTAAATGTTTTTTAATTAGATAAGATAAATTTATAAAATTTATAAGTGATAGTTTGCAATAAAATGGAAAAATATTTTATCATTAAGTTTATCAACAATTGCACGTACATATGTCATTATAGTCAATGTATAAGCAATGATATAGAACAACCAAACGTGTACCTCCTTATCTTTACCTGATTACCTTTATATAACCAATGTCTCTCATTACTGCGGTTGAGTTGTTTAGTCGTATTCTTTTAGCAAGCAAATTACTTCCGTAAGCGAAATAAAGAAATGTGTTGGACATTTTACAAATGTCAAATATTTGATCGTGCTGTAAACTTTTGGTGCAAGATGGTTCACTACTTCGTCCGGTACAACCACACTATCTCACTTGTTCACAGCGAACGTATGAATACGTATGCTACTTACGCACCAATGTGTATGTACGTCACATATATACGTGTATCTACAAACATAAGATATCTTGTATGCATAAAGACGGATCATAGAAAAAATATGATTTTGCGAAAATAAGAATATTTGAAGCGTGAGTGCTTCTCGTTTATTTTCTCATAATATTGTTTCACATTGTGGATATATTTATTTTTAATTTCTGTTACGATCTATCTTGTAATAATTTTGGCGATTGATTTGACGCGCGCTACAATACGAGCCGATTGCATATGGCGACGGATAGTTGAGAAAGTGTATCCCTCTTTTCAGTGACGGTTTTTTGCATATTTTTGTGGCGTCTAGCATCGATTGCGGATATTAGGTGTATTTGCAGAAGCGGTATCTTGTATCTTGTGCCGTTTGACACTGATGAATTACAGAGTACTGCCGCGAATCTAATAGCGGTGTTTTTCCATAACCTCGTAAATCGTGCGAAGAACAGTCTGTTGCAGGCAGGTATATGTACTCGCTGTGTCGTGTTTTACAGTTGTTTATTACTTTATTTTTTCTCGAACGCTTGTTCGATAACACGACTACGTGGCATTTCGCATTATCAGAAAATCAATTTCTCTACTTTTTTCCGTCTTTTTATTCTTATTCTTGCAAAATGGTACGATTTTGTTATGGCGCGAAAAGTTACCAGATTATCATCGAATGCGTGCATACGTACGTTGCTCTGACCATGAGCTCCTATTTTTTTAGCAAAAACGATTTTGCAACAATTGCGACTATGTATCATAAACTGCGATTTTGATATATTTTTTAGTTATTCTTTTATAATAATAATTAGACAATTTATTTTCACGGTGATGAACACAAATGTTAGATTGTTGTCAGTAAAATGATCACTTTGTACATTTTTTTTTAATATAAAAGTCAGCCATTTTTTAACAATTTAATACATCTACAATTTGACTGTTAAATTTTTCTCACCTGTAAAGATATACAGCTTTATATAAAATTAATTTAACATATTTGCACATATAGAAAAAGCAAATATACAGAGAATCTAAGGGAACCAAGATATTTAGAGATTGAATAAGCCTGAAATTCTGAAACTCATATATCTTTTCTTATGTTTTTAAAATATATTAATATTTTTAATGGAAAAATAAAGTTATTCTTCTATGTTATTTTATTCTGTTAATTATCACTAATAGCTATGCTCTTTATATTTATCATATACTTTAATCATATATTATAATATGAATATAAGTCATATTTGTACAATTATTTAACCGAGTATAATATTTAACTTAATAATTCCTGATCAGTAATATCAACATTATACAGTTTATGTTATAGATATGGCACCAACAAAAAAAGCCGATTTAGAAAAGTTAGCATGGGCATGGGTAGAAGTCATTATTCCAGAACAAATTGAAAAAATACATTTAGAAACTGCATACAGAATTGGATTAAAAAGTTGTAAAAATTGCAAGTAAGTTATCAATTGTGGTGTAAAAAGAATCTGATATATTATTTATGTTGTCACTATTATTGTCATAATAATATATATCCCGCTTAAGACATGTTATCTCTGTTTTAGACGGAATTGTACAAATAATCCTCAATGCCTGACAGGTTTAGGAGAAGAAAAATATATGAAGTCACAACCCACAGAGGTAGTGCCTTTAGAGAGCTCTCTATCTGAATTACGTGATCCGACGCAATATGTCGGATTAAAAAACTTGGGTGCTACTTGCTACGTTAATAGTTTAATTCAAATGTGGTTTCATAATGAAGATATGAGGTATGCAGAACACACATTGCATTAAATAAATTGAGTTTTATTCTGTTATATCTCATTTAAATAAATCCAATGTTAACAGGAGGATAATATACAAATGGGATATCACGGAAGATCCAGAAGAAAGGGACACATTGCACCAGGCTAAGAAGACAGGACTACCGTATCATCCAGTAACCGCGGTTGGCCAATTGCAATACATTTTTGCGATGATGCAATTCGGAAATCGGAGTCTTCTTGATCCAATGAATCTCGCTGTCGCGTTATCTCTGGATACCAGAACACAACAGGACGCTCAGGAGTTCTCCAAGCTGCTACTGTGCCATATAGAAGGAAAGCTGCAGCAAAACTCAGAGCTGAAGCAGATGCTGCAGAGGCTGACCCAGGGAAAATACAGCTATATCAATTGGTGGGTTTTCTGAAGTGGAAAACAAATGAGAATTGTCCTAAACGATGATGATGCTGATGAATCTTGACGATGAGAACATGGTAGGACACGTTGCTCGCTAGGGTGACTGGTGCGATCAACCGATCTGACAGGAAGCGACGACTTCTTAGTGGGTAATTAGGATTTTTCTGCGTTTGATGTAGTTGTTCTACATGCGGTACCGAGTATCCGACGTCTACCACATTCTACGAGTTGGATCTACAATTGGCGGCCACCTTGAAGGAGGCGATAGACAAGTATTTGTCCGAAGAGCAGCTGACGGGCGCGAATCAATATCACTGTACCACTTGCAATGACAAAAAGGATGCCAGGCGATTCATACGATTAGAAACTCTGCCGGATACTCTAAATATTCAATTGATGCGTTTTGTATTTCATAGGTAAGTTCGGAATTTTTTTTAATTTTGCGAGAACCCTTCATCCGCTCGAACTGAAGACGCAATTCACCGTGACAGGGATTCTGGGCAGAAGAAAAAGTTAAATTCATATATCCAGTTTCCCGAAGACCTCGATATGTCGGAATATGTTAGGTGTCAGCCGCAAACACATTTGTACAGCCTCGTCGCAGTATTAAGCCACAAAGGTCCGTCTGCTCACTCTGGACATTACATCGCGAATATATGCAATTCAAGTGGTGAGTGGTATCAGTTTAGTGACGACAAAGTGGAAAAGATGCAGAATAAACGAATCGAGGATGGCGTAAATGGTAATTACGTGCTTTGTGTTTAAAAGAAAAAAAAAAAATGCGTGAGTTGTGGCGTGACACAAGCCAGAATTTTTTTTTCCTTTTTTTTTAGATAATGTGAAACCGATGAAACGAGGCCGCGTTCCGAAAGGATTCCTTTCATCGAATACGGCGTATATGTTGGTTTATAAAAAATTAACTACAGATTGGCCAATAAGTGCTACAAAGAAAATGAAATTGAGAAAACTTGACACGGAAGTGAGCGTTTCCAGTGATCCTGTTAACTTGGAAAGGCTTAGTGTTAAAGACAAATCGGATACGTTAGATGAAGCACAACGGAAAAATGGTGTTGGAAATGTATCACCCATAGAAGAAGAAAATCCTCAGAGAATACTCAAACTAGATTTGGAGAATAAAATGGAAATAGATGAGTCTGTGGTATCTGAAAACACTGATGTGCCAATAGAAGTTAGAAATGATACTGTAGAAACCGTTGTTAATACGGATGAATGTAAAGACAAGCATGACCCCTTAACGTTGCAACAATTGCAGAATAAAATTCAGCATCCAAAGAAACCGATAGTGAAAATTGTCAAACTTGATTACAAACGACTAAACGGTGCTGCACACAGAGCTATGAGCTGCGGAGAGCGAGATTTTTACGAAGAGGTATGTCATACATTTCTTAGATGCATTCTAGATTATAAAATATGATTAATTAGATATGTATTTATTTCTCTATAGATGGAATTCGAGAATTGGCAAGTGAGTAGCACAATGCGCGAACTTATCAGGCAAGAAAATGTTAAGCATGAATTGAGTTTGTTAGCCGCCCAGCAAGAAAAGGTAAGAAAATATTTTGTCTATAAATAACGTTACTATACGTAAGTAAGTTTCTGTTACGCTACGTTTTTGCTACATTCCGCTGTTTTGTATTTTAGCAAAAAGAAATTGAAGATCATAATTTCAAACGACAACTTGTCATAGATATATATAACATTATCGCATCGACGATATCTTGGAACGAGTATTATTGGATACCAACCGACTGGTTATCGAAATGGTTAAATACATATTCTACCGCGGACGGTATTCCCCCGATTGACAATTCAATTTTAATGTGCTCGCACTATCGACTCGACCCATTAAAAGTCAGTCGTGCAAAATGCATACCGGTAGCAGTGGCCGACATACTTTACGAGAGGTATCGAGGAGGTCCACGACTAGACCAAACATCTTTGTGCGAAACTTGCGTGAAGAAACGTTGTAAATTGTTGCGCTTTAAACTATCATTAGAACGTGATCATAAAGAAATTAATGAACTAATTCGTACATTCAAAGAACCGTAAGTATTTTTTGACTCTTTAAGGTGTTTCTATAATACAAAAAAGTTTTTAATAATATGATATCTATATCGTTTTAGTTCTGAGACTAGCTATATCATCGGTACTGATTCGTTACGATCATGGCGAAGATTAGCTATGGAAACGTTCTTAGAGGGCATGGAGCAAGAGGCTGACGATTGCCAGGACACTCCGCAGGAAGAGAGTAAAAACACAGGGAAGGATAGCAATGACTGTTCGAAAGAGGTCGAGGAAAACGATGGAAACGAGATTATAATTAACTTCAACGAAGATTTACTTTGCGAGCATAATTCGCTCAAAACGGCAGACTCCAGCAGGAAAGTGATACCTCTAGAGGCGTGGTCGATTCTTCGGAAATATTTTCCGGACTCGAAAGAGTATACTATCGGATCACCGTCTTGTTCAATCTGCGAGGTAAATTCTGCAAATTTTTTTCTTGCAAAACAAACTTGAAATATCTTTTTAAACATGTTTTCTCGATTATACATTTGCTATTGATATATTCTCAGGAGAAAATGGAAAACGCACAAAGAGCGAAGAAAGACGACAAGATAAAGGCGAAACAGCAGAAAGATGAGCTCACCGATTTGTACTATGGAAGGAATAGGAATGAAATATCCAAATGCGACGATCCAGCGAAACTATTTTACATTGTTGAGAAAGGCTTTTTAGATAGTTGGCGTTCCTTTATTCGGTGAGTCTTTTGTACTATTTATCATAATCTGTAGCTGTATTATGGCTATGCTATATTGTTCGATAATAATTTTATGAGATTATCCATTATTGGCATCCTAGAATTTAATTCGGCATTTTAAGGGCTCCAGAGCCATATTTCCATATTTCGCCTTGATACGTTACTGAAATCACAGACTCTCGTGAACCGTGGTCTCGCCTCCGATAATGCGCATGCGCGACTTCAAATTTGAACGGTTTCTTGTATTGAGTTTCTTCAGTTACAACATTCCCGCCTTTACGATATCTCGAGCTTTCGTTCGGGCGTGCATTTGAGTGTGCGAGAAAGTTCTCTTTCGAGTTGTGGCGCCGTAGAAGTGAGTATTATCATTATTTATCTCAACATTTGCTTGAATATGTATATTACAGCTGATATTACAATAATTACGACACACGATACGCGCTGCGAGAAAAGAAGGTTAAGATTAATCGTCTCTTCGCGAGAAAGATATTTCTCTAGATGATTAATGATATCTATCGCTAAGAGATAACAGTGATTGTCATTAATTGATCGAATAATCGATCAAATCTCGTGGCATAGTTGATTATTGCACCGATTACGATGGTTATCTAATATGGCGTATTTTCGGGCTCGCGCATCGCTTAGCGTTTCGTCCGTAGTGTATCAAGATGGCCGGGAAAGAACGTTTCCCGCGGAGACAAACGATTTGATCCCAATCTCGGTCTCGTCAATTAATCCTACCTGTCTGTGGAAAATTGATAAAAGATTCGTTTGTGCGCGGAATCAATAAGAGTACAATTTTAACATTATTCAATAATTCAGCTTATTGCTGAATGTATGTGAAGAATTTATTATTATATTATAATTTATTATTATTATTATAGTTAATTGCTGTTGTTATATGTTAATAATTATCACGCTATTATTAGCAACTTTTTTTTGTCCATTTTATTTTATTGATATATTCTTTTTTACTGAAATCAAATTTATTATAATCGAATAATATAATCGAATATAGTCGTTTCGTGTCGGTAACTGTGACAATTGTCGATAACTGACACGGGCATTTCGCATTCGTACTATCTGCTGAAGATGGCATTAGTCGTCTTGCTTCGTACAATTTCTCAAGTACAATCTCTCCACACACGTAACCATGTCATGTAAATTTTTCTGCATCACTCATCTGATAAAATATTTTATTTATAATATATTTCTTTAATCATCATTTATTACATTGTTATCATTAATTTTTGATAACTTTGAGTTTATCTCGAATAGAGAATTCAATGGTAATAAACACTGTACTGGTTCTTTTTCTTCTCTGTACTATAAGGGGAAAAGTAATTTTTCTTTTGTCCGGAAAATATATTGATACATGACATAAAGTATCGATAAAGTCGTACAGTAGCAATATAAAGGTATACAAATGTATACATGTTAAATATATTCAACAAAGTTGAGAAATCTAAAGGAAGGGATGTAATGTAACGATAAATAGTAACTAAAATTTGATATCGAAAGCCACGATTGATATAACGTAAAGATCATTATGTATTATATTTTCATTATTTATGATACGTTTATTTATATTTAAGCTTTTTCGCGAATATTGTGTCTTAACGCGCGACTAAGTATTAAATTTTCGTCTCGATTGGCGCGTTCGCTATACTTTCGCGATAAATAGGTGAACGCTCAAACTTGCAGTCGTCGAAACTGGTTGTCGACGTAAAGGAAAGGAATATATCCGGCATGTATTAACGAGCTTTTCCTAATTATGAGAAAAAACTGGACCGCGCGATTAAGTTGGGTGACGGTGGGCTCCCCCCTCACTCATTCGTGTACACCGTGTGTGTGTGTGGATGCGGAGGAGGACCTGTACGGGGAAACTAATTGAAACCGCTTAACGACCCGCCGGCAAATGATACATCGACCCCGACGAAGGGCCACCGGTGTCTTAATATCGTTTCTCCTTCTTCCACGGTCAAGACCGTAAATGCAATTTGGACTCTCGTTTCTTCGAATTTCCACTTTTCCGCTCTTCATTCACTCTGTTGGTGTCCGTTCCTTCGATCCAATTTCTACGAAAAGACAGAAAAAAAAACATCACACACGTACATACATTATCGAAATGTATGTGAATGAAGTATGAATTTCAGCTTTTTCGTTTCCGTCTGTCTGTTTGTCCGTCGCGTGACGCGTTTTGCACGACAAATTCACTACGTTAAACCGTTGCGCGCGCGAGTCCCTTAAGTACACACGCATGACATTGCAAACCTCCAAATTTATCTTTTAATATTTTAATCTCACGCGCGCGCGTAAACGCGGACTCGTTCTAGCTTTACATCGACTAAATGGCTAGACGCAAAAAGAGTCGCGTTTGTCGCTGAAATTTTCTCTGCTGCTAATGCACTCTGTACAAATTTTTCCGAATATTCGTTTCTTCGTTGCGTGCACAGACTTAATTAAAAAAAAAATAAAAAAAAAAGGAAAACGGTATTAACTCCTCGCCCTTGTCACGCATCTTTTTCTCCTCCGAGCGAAGCCGCTTTTTCCGCGATATGTATTAGTAGAATTAGCAAAGCCAGCCGATCTGAACGCGGACTCATGAATACGAGTGAAATCTTTCCGACAACAGAAAAAAAGTCTTTGAACATGCCGGGATGGCATTATCCTGAACGCTCCCTTATTATACATTCTCTCGCGCAGCGACACGTTGGCTGGACACTTCGGATTGACAGATTCAAATTTGCCGGGGGCTTAAATCTCGTCGGATTCCAACGGTATACGTATGTGAGCTAAACCGGGATCAACCCTTCTCGCGGATTACATGTTTGTCGTGTCACGCGCGATTTCGATATACACGTACGTATGTAGGGACGTGAAAACCTCGAAATAAGTGGTCGGTTCCCGAATTAAATGAACACTCGCGCGAAGCCAGTAAGAGGAATAGGCCATTTCCCTTTGTGTCTGTGCGATTTAGATCGCATAAAACTTCTCGTTCCTAACTCTCTGTTCGTCAACTCTCAAGTAGCGTCTTTAAAATAAGAGGGATAACGACGGCTAATATTCGCTCGGTATTCATTAGAGGTAAAAACTCCGTTCGATCGTTCAGCTTGAAAAATCAGCAGAAAAACGATAATTCGCTACTTCATTCCGTTTCTCGAGGTCGCGAGTGTCCACGATCCATTATCGAGTATTTGCTATTAACCGCGAGGGAGAGAGGGAAAATATGAAAAATATTTTTCCGGACCGCTGGCATTGTCTTCGACCGACTCGACTCCTTTGTGACGTCGGTGATTAATTTTTCAGCAGGTCGGGCATGCCGCCCTTTTTTGTTGCGCCGCCACTGCCAGTAATCGTTCTTTGTATTTTTCGAACAAAAACCCATAGTTCGTTGCTTCCATTACACGTATAGTTATATTATACGCTATACGCTACGTGCATAGTGCGCGATCTTTTTGCAAAGCGCTTGGAACATAAAATTACGCTTTATTACCCTGTCTTATATTAAATTTTCCACATCCACATGCGCAATACTCTGAAATACTGAGTACATAAATATCTTCGACTTTTCATCGCGCATTACCGGCCCAAGCAGCTTTCATCTTTCCCGTTTACTCGCATGTTTTTTATTGGAAATATGTAGAAGCATTTTATCGAGGAATAATCGCTTTGAAGTTTAAGTAATAATCAAAATTTTACTGTTTGCGATCTCTCTCGAGATGCGCGGGATATATGATTTTAAATTCAAATTTTATTAGATTTTACTAAACTTGAAAAATCTTTGTACAAATGTGTAAAATCGTTGGGTTTCCGTTTTCGATAGCGTAGAAATAATTGTCTTTTGTTTACTTTTCCTTGATAAACAAACGTTTGTTATCGCACTCCATATTGTTAATTAGCCAAAACTTGCTAATCGAACGCGACGGAAACTTCCACACCCTCGAGAGAACAAATGATGTCGAGGATTGCAATCCGTTTAACTAGCTTCAAACAAAATCTCCCCCTCCCCTCGCCAATCCGTCAACGTCGCTCGGATGGATCTTCGAAAGGATTAGGATTTGCATAAACGATCATTCAACTTCCGCTCGACGCCAC